GTCTTTATTTTCAGACCAACCTCTTATGAAAATGCTAAGGACTATCCACATTTTGTTTGCTTCAAGAGGAAGATACAGAATAAATCTGCAAAATATTTTATTAATGTTTGTCTTAGCATTAGGAAGCTGACATCCTAAACATACAGTGCAATCCTATACCTGGTTATGTAGAAATAAATCCCAAGGCAGTTATTATAAGAAAATATGCTTTAGGATTGCAACCTTTCTCCAAAACCCTATGTATATTGATTCAGAAATAAGGTTCATTTAAAACTCTATGTGTTTTGTGAATAAACAAGTATGAGATTGTAATGCACATTCATTAAAAGATTTTCTGTGTCTGGAAATTGCTTTTTTAAAATAAAAAATAGGTAAAAGAAATTATTTTTAAATGTACATTTAAAATAATAACTAGCTTGTACAATCTATCAGACATATTTGCAAAGAAATTATTTAATAACACTTGAAAATTACTGTTTGACCTTTATCTGAGTTTTCTGCCAGGTGGGGGGACATTTAATTGGAAACAGGTTTTGTCATAGATCCAGCTATGATGAGGATTTTTCAAAACAGTTTTTCTTCCTTAAAATAAAAACGTGTAAATGTCAATAAAAGCCTTGCTTGAGCATCCTCAAAGCCTAATATTACTTTTTTGTTACCACAATATATATTGCTTAGTCTGAAATATATTATCTGTCTAGTTCTCTGTGCATTTGTATTATTTCCATCACTAGTTTCTTCCTATTTAAGCACATAAAGAAAAGTATTAAAACTGTGAGAGTCACAATGATTGATTTGGAATAGAAGCATTAAATTGCTTTGACTTTCCAAAACACAATATATTTGAACAATGTACTAAAAGACCAAATAACTTGTCCAAAGTCTTCAGCACTTCTCCACTGGATTTTATAGTGCTGGTTTTTAGAACAGTAACAAAATGTCATGTTAATCTTTTTGTGGAAAATTCTTGTGCTTATAGGAACTGGAAATTTATACCCAAGCTATTTCCAAAAGAATCCATAGGAAGTTGCTATATATCTTGAAGGCAAATATAAGGATACACTTGATAGTGATATACATTACCAACTCTCTTTGCTCTTCTGACTGAGTTGGATTAGGAATAATAGATTGGAACCATGCCATGTCAAATATGGATTTGGGAAAATAATAGAATAGTGACATATGGAGAATAGAAGTAAACTCTTGCAGCATCTTATAGGATAGTGATTTTATTTCCAGATTCACTATTGTGAACCACAGTCCACCATGAGGTAATATATTCTTGAGAGAGGAGTATTATATATACACTGTGCTGGAATGTCTAGCAGGCCCTAGGAATACAGGGAGGAAACGAGTGTTGCAAAGGGGAGATCTCAGCCAGAGGAGGGAGAAGCATGAGAAAGAGACTCTGCTAGGTATAAGTTGAGCTGGGGAATGGTTTTGACAGGCTTTCAGCTAGCAATAACAATCTTTTCAAAAGTCTATTCTTGTTTCCTGCATTTATCTGTCTTGAAGGGCTTGGTATACATACAGGTGTTTTAAGGGTGAAACAGAAAGGGGAATGCTAGAAAGAAAGGCAGAGTTGCATATAAATACTGACAGTAAATAAATGAAGAAATTGTATAATGCTTGAAATAGTTTAACGTAAATGATTCCAGAAACAGGATAAGCTAGATGATGGTGATGATGACAACGACGACGACGATGACGATGACATTTTCCATTCAAGATTGTCTTTACCATGTTTACCTAGAACAATACAGAAAGTCCAGCAAGGAAGAAGTAGTCTGCATCATACAGCAGATTTTTTTCCCCCAGTCCAACAGGACATTGGAAATAAATTAGAATTCTCTGAAAACTGAACAGAATGGGACCAAATTTGATATGACAAAAGGAAGCAGCAAAAGAAAGGCTGAATTTGAGCCATTGTAAGGGTTTAGAAAGAATTCTAGAAGTCATGCTCTGTATGGTTTCCCTAATTTATTCTTTCCAACTCAGCCAAATGCTTGGAAGAAGTTATGTAAGGAGGCCTAGGACTCTGTCTGACCATTTATCTGTCAGCAGGATAGCCCTCCAAAATCAAAATGATTTTGGAGGGCTATCCTG